TACTAAACCTTATATCCGTTTAAAATATAACAAGGAAAGGAATTCTGAAAGTTTAAATATGTAAAAACTGAATACATTTTTTTTAAAAAGTGATTTAAATCACTGATTTTTATTTTTAAAATCAAATTGATTTTTAAAAAATTTAAAATCAACTGCTTTAAATCAACCCAGCTCTGATTTCATTTTATGGAAAAAAAAGTAAATTGAATACTGTATTATTTTACAGTGAAAGGGTGGAAAGCAGACTTTTAAGCATGATTATATTAGTCTACTAAACCTTATATCTGTTATATGAAACCAAGGAAAGGAATTTTGAATGTTGAAATGTGTAAAAACCGAATAAAAATAATTTTTAAAAAAGTGATTTAAATCACTGATTTTTATTTAAAAAATCAAGTTGATTTAAATTATAAAAAATCAACTGATTTAAATCAACCCAACCCTGGACACAGGCTTGTGTATTTGAACGAATCGGTCTTTTTTTTTTACACAGCTTCATAATATGCAGGTGCCAGGTGGTCTGCTAATCTTCAATTTTACCTTTTTCTACAACAAAGTAAGTGGGAAACATGGGGGGGGGGGGGGGGGGGTATCAATGAGGCAGCGGGCATCGGATCGGCAGATGTGTGGGGGAAACTAAAAAATGGCGGAAAATTGGAAGCACTGAACGTTAGATCTATAGAACGAAGACACTTCCTTTTTTCTAGACCCGAGTCCAAATAACATTTTTTCATATTCGGACTCAAGTCCGAATATGAGATTTTTTTATTTGGACTCGAGTCCGAATATGAAAAAATGTTATTCGGACTCGAGTCCGAATAAAGACGGCCAGTCAGGAAACAAGACTTCCATTTTTCTATATATACAAAATGTTTCAAATCAGCTTGATTTTGTATGAAATGATACTACCTGATAAAAAATTATAAGCTTGTTCGATGATTTTGAATATACCATTGTGCGGATACAAAGAACAATTTGAGTGCAAAATATTCATTCGGAAATTGACCTTTATTATCTATTTTCTAACCCCAGGTCATTCATAACAACAAGAGCGTCTAGAAAGGTTATTTAATAATAATAATAATAAATAGCATTTATACTGCGCATTTCCATTTCCTAAAAGATGCTCAATGCGCATTACAATGAAAAAGACATCACGATCTTAAAAATTAATCGACACAAAGGTGTACGTAAAACAAAGTATTATGCATATAATATAAATGCATATATATGTGTAAAATTTTATACCAGAAAAACAGTCTCGCAGTGAGGTTGAAAATGTGTTCACTAAAAACATACAATGCAATAAAAATTCACGAACAGTCAAAATAAAGTTGAAACGTGAGTAACTAGAAACATTCTCATTAAAACATTAATTCTATACAGATAGAAAAACATTTCCTTTCTCTCTCTCTCTCTCTCTTTCTCTCTCTCTTTCTCTCTCCCTCTCTCGCTATCTCTCTCTCTTTTCCCTCTCTATCTCTCTCTTTTTCTCTCTCTCATTCTCACTCGCTATTTCTTCAGTCTCACAGTCTGGCATACACATACATATATATCACAGTACATCATTATGACAGGTATGCTTTGAATGGGCGTAACTACTCGTAATGTCTTGTCAGCATGTGAGAGGGGGTTATTTATGTGTTTGTAACACTTTATAAATAGAAAGCTATGAAAGAAAGAGCGTTATCATCGATTAACACACTCCCACAGTATTCATGGTGAAAACACACGTTTCCCGGCGCACGCACGCTGTACACCAACAGTACACATTGAGTGACACCGGCGGCCTGCCCAGAATGTCCGACGTAATGGGTTGTTGATATGATTCGGTTAATGCATCGGCTCCGGCCAAAGTTCTTAAAGTAAATAGTGTAAATGTTTCATTTTGAAACTCGTTCAGGGGGCTCTCGTGGCCTAGAGGTTAAGGTGTTGGCCTCTCGTTCAAAGGTCCCGGGTTCGAATCCGGGTAGCGATCGAAAAATTTTCTTCTCTAAAATTGTCTCCTTTCACTTCCTTTCATGCTCTCTAGCAATGTTCTTTTGTCTGCTTTCATTTCCACTTTCTGCCCCCACCCCCTCACCTCCTTTGCCCCCTCCTCTGGGCTCCTGGCTCTTTCTGCAGCCTTTCTACTGCTACTCCTTGGCTCCTCCTTACTACTGTTTTTCTGCCACACCCCCGATCTTCTGGTAGGAAAGATCTACACCTAGCCTTCTCGGACAAGGGCGAAAAATCTCAGAGGGCCCGTGTGCAAGTTGCGCACGTTAAAGATTCCTTGGTGGTCTAAAATCGATAAGAGTAGGCTTCGGCCGCCACCCGGGCAAAATTCAAAATTTCCTACCAACTGAAAATATTAGGTGTGTCCCGCGCACTCATATGACCTTATGCAGTTGCGAGCGCCGTAAAACACTTACCCAAAAAAAACAAAAAAAACAAACCTCGTTCAGCTTTGTTTTAAATTCCTCAAAGGATCGAAAGGTGTCGTTCTCCTTCATCCATTTCACAGAGAGACAAGGCACCAAGTTGAACAGCTAGATAAACTCGTCCTCAATCCCGCAGCAGTTAAAACATGAGCGAGAACTTCCATGCAAAACAGAATGGCGACCGGCATTGTTCAGCTCGATTCAAAAAGTGAAATAGCCGTAGCATCTCTTTGTAGACGACCAAACTAGTTTACTTTTGCGCTATGACATCATTTTTGGGGGATTTTTGTTGTTGTCAATTTGATCTTCCACACCCAAAGACAGTATTCAGAAATTGGGAACCTGGTCTTGTTTCACATCGGGTGAGAATAGCCAACGCTGGCAAGTCTCATCCGGGGTGAGAGGTCAACCGTATTTTTTTAACCCGAGGTGAAAATAACCACTTTCGAAAATGTATCCCAGAATTTATATCTCCTGTCTCATTTTATTTTTAATATATCAGTGGCCTAAGACTGTCAGACTGCAACATTGTGATTGTTTAGTTATATATGGGGAAGGACTTCCGTAACAAGCGACCACCCCAACAAATACGTTTTAAAGAGGAGACCTAACCCTGACCCTACCCCAAATCCTAACCCTCTTCTGTTCTACTGTTTCATGGTGGTGGCTAGTTACGGAATTCCTCCCATGTATGGCATATATATATGTATATATACATAATGAATTGATATTTTATAAGCCCAATATAATTTAATTTTTAATGTCCTTTCTGAATGGTGAGTTCTGCTTCATTTTAAGTGCTTGTTGGGGAGACTCATTGACTATTGATGAGATAGAATGGCTTTGCAGATTGAGTGAGGCAAAGGTCTCAGATTTTGTTCTCTGTTCATCATGGAGGTTTTTTTTATTGGTCTTTGCCATAAACTTTCTCCTGGTAGAAAAAAATGAGGATCCTTGGCTGATTTTCTTGGTCTACTTATTTAGGCCTCTATGGTGGATTTTAAAAAATGCATGCATGTCATTTCAAGATATAGACAAAAGCAGAGACGAACATTTTCATATTTGTTTCCCAATTTTTTTAAAGAATGTTCTTTATGTGATCATAATTTCATATTGTAATTTTTTATCACAGGACGAGTTCATTCTGCTGTTATTAGTGGCCTCAACAAAGACACAAAGAGTGTGACTGTAGAATGGTACGAAAAGGGAGAAACAAAGGGCAAAGAGGTAAGTTGTGGAAACACTGAGCTGATTGAGAGAAAAGAAAAAGAAAAAGAGGAACAATTCTACTTTCTGAAGTACGAATACTTGTGTTTGGGGCAGTAGCAACATTTTGCTGTAGTGCTGTCAGTTTTATTGAGTTTGAAGCCTACTACTTATTTCTGGCAAAATGTGAAGTGACTGCTATCATGCTGACTCATTCAGTTGTAGACTGCAACTGCACTCACATCTTTTTCTGTAGATGTGTAAAAAGAACAATTCCTTTTACCTTTCTTTAACAATCCTCCCCACCTTTCCCTTGATTTCTAATTGGTCGCTTTTAAGGACAAGCGGGCTAACCTAGATTTCGGGGGTTTCCAGAAACCTTGGTCTACACCAAAAGTGGGCATTGTCCTATCCGTACTATAGGAAAAGTTAGTTTCATTGGTGTGTGTATATTTGTTTGGTTAGAGAGAAAACTCTCCATGTCTTTTAAAAAGACTGAATAAGGATACAAAAACTTTAACTTCGATTTTCTCAAAACAGCATTTTTCGGGATGTCCCGCTTGTCCTTAAAACGACCAATTGTAATTTACAGCCCACACCTTAAGAAAAATTCTATCGTGCATTAGACATCACAGGTCACAATCTTTAACTTTAATTGTTTGTTCACTCAATGTAAGAGACACCCAAGATAAAACTATTAAATGAAAAGATGTCTTCATCCATTAGAGACCTATGTAGAGCAAGTCATAACTATGTAAACAACTGAAAACACTAAGACTGAACGTGCGCTCCTATTCAGTTCACTGGCCTTGTCGCACAGGATGTGTGTAAGAAAGAAAACACACCTAGCTTTGAATAGCGGCTAAAAGCTCACACTTCTGGTTAAACTACAGACCTGCCAACCCTCCCGATTTTGTCGGGAATCTCCCGAATCAGGTGCACTGCTCCCGACTTCCCGATAACAGTCTTGATTTCCTGATTTCGGAGCGGCGCTATTTTATAATACTATTACAATTATTTGCGAGAAAATGACGAATGGAATCGGCGATACAGTAGCTCGTAGCGGTTTGGCTACATATAATGCTCAAGTAAACCTGGCAACTAAATTTGCGCCCTACGTTTACTCGATCCTGATTTGGTTTTACCTCGTTGGCCATTGATACAAAGATATGACTTGGCATTCAGCGTGCCACCCTCATTTTCCCCTATTTTGCATTTTCAAAAGTTTGCAGGCCTGACAATATACCTCACTTTGTTTTATCAGTATAACGTCTATACTTCCTGTGAAATTGTCTCTATATACAATGACCTCAAAACTAAAATAGTAGATAACCTTTGAAAGGATATTATCCTCTTTATTCAAAACTTATCTTATGGTAGTAGTTGAGATGTCAGTAAAACAAAACGTGTTTTAGTTTTAGCTACTGTATGAGATATATATGTCTGTCAGCAGTGGAGTTAAGAGGGAGAATATAAAGAATTTCTGCATTTGTGTCATGACGTGGTGCAATCAGGCCGTCGTCAATTTTTGGGCATGTGGAGTTACTGGTTCCATCTTAAAGTTTGTTCATATACCTATCTTTTAATGAAAAAAATACCCATTTAAGTTGAATAAATGTCTAGATATTTGTGATTGAAGGAGTGGAGGTCGACTGGTTTCAACGGTAACATTAGCAAGAAAATGTCTGCCAAAGTTTGGTGACTTCCAAAACTTGAGAGTCGTTGAAAACTGAAAATTTACATTTTTTGAGCCTTTAATCATTGTTTTTCAGCAAAATCAACACAGAAATACGTTTTTATGTGAAAATAAAGGAGTTGAGCCAAAAACAAATTCAATAAAAATTGCCAACTAATAGGAAAAATGTTGATATCTTTGATTTCATTATTCTGATTATTTTGATGAGCCCCTGATTTCACTACGATGTCTCATATTTTATTCATGAGGCATCATTGCGTTTTGAAATATTATAAAAGTTAAATTATTTTTTCAGTTGTTTTTTATCTTCTGAATTTTGCAGACCCAAAATTTGTAAAAAGTCTGCTCCTTGTTCAGTTTTGGGTTTTTATCTCTCTTACTTAACATAGACTTGAAGGAGTACTTCTTTTTAGTAACAATAGGAAGATCTGTGTGGTCAATGTTGTCTTTTTATTACAAGTGGAATGTGATGGACTCTTTTACTTTTCAGAAGTGGAATGTGATGGACTGTTTTACTTTTCAGATTGAAATGGAGGCCATAGTCAGCCTGAACCCTCATCTCATTCCACCCGGAGGTGATGATAATGCTCCAGAGCAGAAGGCTGCACCAAAAAAGGTACATCCCTGTGTGAGATGCACATCATTTGCTTCTGTTCTGGTATAATTTTAGCTTCAGGCGTTCTGAATTTGGCTTTTTTTTTTATTTTGACTGGGTGTGTTTGAATTTGCACTTCTGATACGGTTTTGGAACTGCTACAGACCAGAGGTGGCAAGGTTATTATGTTAGTAGGTAACCACAATAGAGTATAGCCCTGGTTTTTTTTCAATTATAAAATACTGCTTTTTATTAAATATAATTAAAGAATTAATTGGGGTGATACTTTGGTATGGTGGAACAATGGCACTAAAATGTTCTATGTTCTGTAACATGTTTTATTCTTTAAAGAAAATGGAGATCTTAAGTCTTTTGGGAAAAAGAACTAGAAACAGTGACTTGTTTAATCTAGGGCAGTTTTGTTTACCCGCTTTCTACTCTTATTGTTTAGGATTCTTTTATCTTTTAAGAGTAATTGTACTGTGAGTCTCAAACACAAATCTGTAGTATATTTGTCTTTTTTTAGACGAGTTTGGATACTAACTCTGGCACACATTCAGCAGACAATTTAACAGTAGCAGTAGATTTTCTTTTTGTTTGGCTCCGGTATTGTCAGACTTAAGTTTTTGATCCTTATATTAAAGTATACTTATGTGTTAAATTTTGTAGACTTACCATTAACATCAACCCCCCTCCCTCCAACCTGTTTTTTTTTAAATTTAGTTTGCCTTTAGTTTCTTATAATTTTTTTCCCACTTAAGTGCCTGTTCTCTTCAAGAGATTCTGTACTGTACAGAGACATTTACCTTGTTTGTTTGCTTTCAGTTATTTAAAAGCATTATACCTTCTTTTGTGAATTTTATCATTTTGTTTCACTAGTTTTTTATTTCTTTTCATTAATAATGTATATGATTTTTTTTTTAAATAGAGGAATTTGTCTTCTATCCAAGTTAGAGGAATGTCTCTTAGTGATCTGTGCATGTTGGTATCAGCTTTTGGTCAATGGCTTGTGGATTGCCCTCCCCTCCCCCCCGTCATCAGATTCCAACAAAAGCTGCTGCTAGGGAAGAAGAAGCCATGGAGCAGGATGACGATGACCCCCCAAGCACTGCAAGCTCTTACTCATATGCAAATGGGAATTCAGAAAACATCCCAGAGCGTAAGCCCCAAGCTAAAAGACCAGCCAGAAGAGCTATTCCCAGCCGTCAAGGGGAGAAGGTATTCCTCTTCACTTTTCCTCGATATTACACTTGCAGCAGTTCATGGATGGAATGGGTTTGCCTGTACATTAAAATTGTATACTTTTTCTACTAACCTGGATCATTGCCCTTTTATCCACTTGTGCATGCAGGTTAATATGATGTAAAACATCTTTTATTTTTGATTTCTTTCACTGCTCTATAAATGAGGGAACCATGTGTTTCTTTGACTCTATGACAAATATTCCTTACTACCAAGAGCTTCTAGTCACCCCAAGGGAAAGAAAAGTTTAGACAGTAGTCATTTCAAAACTAAAAAATGAGCTGCCATTCACTTGAAATGCAGTTTCTACCTTGAATTGTAAGATAATTCTACTGTTTAAAGCATGTTTTTGTGGACATGAATGATATTGGTCCAGTTCCGAGATTTTTTATACCGCTGAAGTTCCATTCGTCTCACTGAAGTTCTATTTGTCTTCATTGATAATTAGAGTTAAAGCCTGAGGATTTACATTTTATTTGTTGGCATCTCAACCAGCTGGTTACTGGTCTTGCTTCTTAGAAAAATCAAAAGAGGTATTCATTCATATAAATTGCCTAGTGCTACTTGTAAGAACTGAAATACAGAAATGTGACCATTCATTGTTGTAGCTGAGTGGCAGCTGAAATTTGGACATTCAGGCTTGTTTATTGCCAGGGAATTCAAGAATTGTGTCTTTTTACATCATACAAAAAGGTCTGCTCATATATGTCACAGATTACAAAATGCTAATTGAAAATCGATGAATGTTAAAGGAATGGCAGAACTTTGAAGTAAGACCCTTCCTAATTAAAAAAAAAAAAATGTTTAGTAGCCCAAGGACCAACAAAATGTTCAAGGTGGCATGCTCCGAATAAAAATGGTTAACACTTTATAAATGTTCACAATTCCTCTTGCTCATGCCAATTTCACACATGTTTTGATCTTACTGTGTTTCCATAATTATTTCACTTTTTCTACACCTAGTATAAGCATGTTTCCCCGACCATCTCATCATCAACACTTGTTCTGAAGCAGTTTCTGCAATATTTTTCTGTATTTTGGGCATTTGTACCACCGGTGTTGAAGGTTGGAAATTAGAGGGAAAATTTGTATACGTCTGCAATTGATAAATGTTCATTTGTGCCTTGGTCTGGTCAGTGTTTATTTTTTCACATTTTCCAACGTTCATTGAGCAAACTTTGTCTGCCCATGTAAAGAAGAAGTTTGAAAGGTAAAATAGTCTTCAAACTGACTCCCAAAACTTTGTATATTGAATTGTATGGGACCTGACTTTCTGTGACGTATAATAAAAAGTCTGGATTCTTTGCATTATTATTTTTCTTCTTGACTAATGGTTTTACACTAGAACTATTGTACTGTTAGAGGAGGTAGTATTTTTAAGAAATGAAAAAAAATATGTTCACTTTGAATGTTTTAAAAAATCTCGAATTCAAGAACCACTCGTTTTTTATTTTATTTTAAAGTCTTCAGCATGTTTTCTTCCTTTCAAGACATCTAATGTTATATTTGGGGAAAATAAGTGAAGCTGTTTGTATTTACGCTGTAATATCTGATCTGAACAGTGATTGTATTTTGAAGATCAATCTGCCCTCTTCAGATTAAAATGATTTATAAATATTAGTATTTGCCCAAGTCAAACACTACCTTTGGGCAGCTGTGATTGATTTTTTTTCTAAATATGGTTGTTGGTGAGGCTTAGAGTTGTTTAGGTTTGATGTTTTGAAACAAGACTTCTGGCCCTGAAACTAAGCACAATTTGCTGTGGTTGCACTTACAAGTGACTTCAAGATTTTGCAGTTCTTAAGTCAAAACTTTTAGTAGTTTGTAATTAAAATTGCATATACATTTTCATAACTTAAAAACGAGAAATTATAAAAAAAAAGGTCTATAACGATCCTTATCCTTGACTGGAAACAATTTATGATTGTTGGAGTACCACTGTATTTTCATACCCCATCCGTCTCTTCTCTTATTACTTTTTTGTTTTTTGCACTCTGGTTGGCCCGGATGAGCCCTGCGGATAAGCATCCATGTGTATTTTTGTAGGTTCTCTACGTGGAGTCAGTTGGTGGGTGTAAATCTTGCTTTAAATAGAAGCAGGTTTGATTTCTGTTGTTGTGGGTGTATGGTATGTTTTTTAAAAAGTTGTGATGAATTGTTTGGATATTCTGATTTTTATGCTTCAAAAAGTTTTTTTGTTTCGTATCCTGCATTTTTATTTGTGTCGTTTTTCCAAATATAGATTGTGAAGCGATAAACAGTCGCTCTCATGTTAGGCTGCAGCGGACCCATTAGTGTTTGTGCTGCACAGAGATTCAATACAGTCCTCTAATATCTGTGTGTGAACAGAAGTGACTTAATGTCTAATCAGGGATGGAAATTTTCCGTAATCTTACAGAAATCGGTAATTTTGATTTGTTCTGTCATTTTCCGAAAGTGTCCTTTCAATGGTGAGTCGTTCAACTAAGTGTACTAATCTACAATTGAATAAGTGTACGTTTCCAAATCTGTAAGGACCGCCAAAAGTTTTGCAAATTTTGGACTGATCAGTTTCCATCCCTGTCTAATGATGAAATAACCGCCATGAATAACTCAACTAGGATGTAGGCCGACTAGTGTGGCCATTTTTGGACTTCTGCCTTCTTTTCTCACGTTTTCTTTACTTTTTTGTCTTTCCTTTAATATGTATCCCCTCCGCCCAATGTCATGTTGGGGGACCAAATACTTTCAATTTACCCCCCGGGGCAGTGCCACTGACTGAAGTGTCTTTAGGCCATTCCCAAAGGGGGGACATTTCTCGTTCATGCACAGTAGAATTGTAAATGGGCTGACCCAACAGTTTCATGCTCATAACTGTGCCTGATCTACAACAGGGAACTGCTGCTTTTTCTTTCCTAATCCTTTCTATTGTCATTTTTCCTCTACTTCTTTTGTATGTTTGTCACTCTATTGTGACCCGCTATTTTTGGGGTGCCTTGATAGTCGATGCAGACTTTGTGCTGTTGAAGCTAGAGAGGTGAGCAGAGTAAGTCTGATTCCCTGTAAGGACTTCTCTGTTGACATCCACCCCTTGGCGCTCATATGACCTTATGCAGTTGCGAGCGCCGTAGAACCTTTTCTTAAACTAAACTAAACTAACTTTCTATTTGCAGCTTGGAGCAGTTCACATTTTGTCTTGGTTTTTGTTGTTGTTCTTTTTCTACTGTTATGCTTGTGAGACAACATTAATCTCTTATGGAGTGGGTGGTTGGCGGGTGCTCTGGTGTGGTTTGCTTCTTCTTTCCTATGTAAATGCAATTATTATTATCAAAAATGTCTAAGACACCTGATTTGTATATATGTTTTTAAAAATTGTCTTTTATCTCCTCTTGGACTATTCTGTGGTTGGATAATTTACTCTTCTTTGAATCTGTTTCAGAGAAATATGGCACCGCCCCCTGACCCCCCTCGAGCTGCACAGAAAGGTGAGTGTGTTACTAGCCGTCTAAAGAGTTTTCATAAGGGTTGGTCCTGTTACTTTTGGACTGTTTTCATCTGACTATGATGTTGATGCAGAGAGAAGGGATATTTACCTGTTGTTGGTTATTGTAGAAGACAGTGATCATCTTCTGTGAGACTTTGGGCTGTAAACTTGACCTGTCTGGTGGATGTTCTAGTCAAAGTTCTTCCCAAATTTTTTCTCATTCCTACTGGAATGTTTCTTCCCAGCCTAGAGTTCTCACAGGGGACCAAATGCTGTGCTTTTAAAATGGCTTACGCTGTGTCCTATAGGTCGTTTGTTGGCGACACATTAGCTGGACACACTGTATTTTTGCAGGAGAGTTTGAACAAGACATTGCAGTGAGAGGTCTTACTGGTTAGGACTTAAGAATTTTAGATATCGAACTGTTTATTAGTTTAAGGAGTTTCATTATAATATATTTATTCAAAATTTGAACATGTTAACTTGAACTGTACCGTTACATTCTCCTGTAATATAACTTGTTCTTTATAGTCAAGAAAAGATTTGAAGACATTATTTAGCCATCCCTGGGTTTGTCTATTTCTGCTTACACATACATGTAATAGACAGAAAGCCTTTGTTGTTCTCTTTGTGTCTTGGAATTTGTCATTGTGAAAAATCAGCCTATTTACAATTCTAATGTACATAAGAGCATGTTAATTTCTCCCCTTTGGGAATGGCTTAAAGACACTTTGATTGAAAATGGGCTGATTTATCAACATCATGCTCATACTGTGCTGGAACAACATAGGGGGGACTGCTGCTTTTTCTGTCCTCATCCTTACTATCGTCTTTTTTCCTCTACTTCTTTTGTATGTTTGTCACTCTCTTGTGAACTGCTATTTCTAGGGTGCTTTGATAGGCGAAGCAGACTTTGTGCTGTTGAGGCTAGAGAGGTGAGCAGAGTAAGCCTGATTCCCCATTTGGACATCTCTGTTGACATCCACCTCTTGGCGGTCGTATGACCTAATGCTGTTACGAATGCCGTAAAACCTTTCTAAACCAAGCAACTTGTAAAATTTTAAATAACCTTTTATGTGAAGCCTTTTACACAGTTTTGTGTTGAAAAAAACCCACATATCTTTCATGGTTGTGTGCAGGCTACCAGACACAGCATAATTCTTGGACAAAAGCAGAATACCTTTCAAATATAGACAAAAATGCTTACTATTTAACCGACACAGGAAAAGTCGCTTCAGGGCTCATTAACCCTGTGACCCTGAGCAGGGGAGGTCCGGCAGGCTGCTGAGTCTCGCTTCCTAAAAGTAACAGAAAAGTAACGCCGTGAGACGACGTCAAAGTACAGACGGGGCTAAACATGACAAAAGTATATGACGGCAGCGAGTGACCATAAACAAGGGCAGGACATTGCACTTCAGCCTCTGAGCCCGAGGTAGCACCTTCCAATCCAGATTTTGCTTCTGCAGGAATATTTTTAAAAATTGCGTTCAATAACTTTAATTCTTATTTTGTCAACCTTTCAGCTTCATCTGCTCGAAGTCGTCCCAGTTATGCAGTGGCTCCTAAGTCCAACACCCCGAGTCAGCAAAACGGCCAGCCTGAACCGGCCCCAGCACAGTCTGACTCAAGAAAATCTCTTGCGCCAGCAGCTAACAATGCAGGTATAGCTTGTACATTTCACTGTGTATTCTTCTTGAGGTTTAAAATAATGTGATTCCAACTTCATGAGGTTGCATTTTTCCACTTTATGGACAGCTTCGTGTCTTAACTTGAAGAATTTGGAAATATGAAGTCTCTGGGTCTCCTTTCAAAAATGTCTTAACTTTGGTCTGGAAGTCTTCACCAGACAATTAAATCCATGAATAAGATATAATATCCAGAAATATTATTTAAAGTGAGGCTACTCCATATTTTTCAGGACTTGCTCTAACTTCTAAGCGTCATGCTTATCCATACTCTCTTGTGGATTGAAATGAGTAGCTGTCTTTGTAGTATACTCCTGCCTCTTCATGAAGCTGGTCTGTGGGTCAACACTTACTGACTGCGGTGTAATGGTGAGGCTCTTTACCTTGCACTTGACAGTTCTGTCACCAGGTGTGGAAGATTTGTTGTTGAGTACTTTCAACTTTTCATTGGGATGTGTTTTCGCATTGTCTAAATTAATCGAGTCTGTAGGGGGGCGCAAAAAATCATCTGGTGCTATGTTTTGACCTAAATGATTTTTACAAAGTTGATGTGCTTCTATGAAACGAAAACAAAGTCAAACATCAATTAAATGAATTTTGTCTTATTTACTGGTTTCGTGTTCACAGCTGCCAGGAGAAAGTCGAACTGTGTGAAAGAAGTTGAAAAGATCAAACAGAAACGAGAAGACAGACGGGCAGCTCACCAAGCCATTAAACAAGATTATGAGTCTTCATACGACACCAGCGACCCCAACTGGGAGTTTCTGGCTATGATCGGGTCAGCTCCTTTTTTAAAATGTCCCTTTATATATTTTTGTCATACCCTGTTGAAGACTACAAGGGAAAAATAGACTTGGTCAGAGGGAGAATATCGAGGACTACTGCTTTTCTTTTATGTGTTTGTATGGACAGCTGATGTTTTCTCGATCACACTCTTAAACAATGAGGAAAAGGGGGAGGGTTTGGGTTTGGCGGTGGTAGGGCCATAATGCCATCAAGAGACTTACCCACACTTTAATTAGAGACGACAGCCATTTCTGATGAATGTATTTATGGACAAAATAGCTCGAGCCAAACTAAAGGTCAAAACAGAAACGGGCAACAATGGAAATTGTGCCTGCTGTCATTTTACCTCTGTACTCTCTAATACTAATATAAAATTTATGTTTTTCTCTTATGTTACATAATTATGTTTGTCATAGTTTTGTCTTCTGTGTGATTTTTTTTAAAATGTGCAATGTAATTTTTATGTATGCAATGTCATTTTTTCTTCTTCTTATTTTCAAGCTGTGTTCTTAGTGGAAGATCATGTCATGCAAGACTTCTGGGGTTTTTTAATCGACACTCATATATATGCTTTTGCTGAATTGTTTTATAATTTTGTATTGAGAGACTGAAGGGGGTATACACTTGAGATGATTGTGTGGGAAATGGGGAATTCGATAAACATTGGCTTTTGAATCCCACATTGAGTGTGTGTTGAGTGTGCTGTGCAAGTGTTTAGATTTTTAAGGCATTTTATTTTGAAAGTCATAAGTAGGACAATTAGCAAAAGAGACATGAGTTTTATTTTTTGTGATTTTGCAGTTTGTCCTTTAAAATTTCAGGGACTTCCGGAGTAATCTGGACTACCGTCCTATCACTTCATCTGACCCTATAGAAAACCACAGGATATGTGTATGTGTGCGTAAGAGACCCCTCAGTAAGAAAGGTAAGGGGGTGTATGCCACATGAGTATACATTTCACTTGTAAGAACTTTGAGAGAAGTGTATGCTAAAAGCAGTTGCAGTGTAGATCAAATCAGTTGTGATTGTCTATTTTGTGTCAGAGAAATTCGTTTCCATAAAATATTTGTTGGTCTGCTCTTTCTCTATGGCGGCTCGCATAGTGGTGTTCTGTTGAAATATGTGACTAGTTCATAAATGAAGTAACAAAACAATGAAATTCATACAATTCTATTTTTGTCAAGCAAGACCTATGATGTACTAAAAGCAGCAGGAGATGGATGCAGGTGAAGAAGCCGTCTTATTGTGTGTTCTCGTTATATTTGTTTCTTCCTTTTTTCCTACAGAGGTCGGCAAGAAAGAAGCTGATGTGATAACTGTTCCCAACAAGGAGAACGTGATAGTTCATGAGCCAAAGCTTAAAGTGGATCTCACCAAGTACTTGGAAAACCAACAGTTTAGATTTGACTATGCCTTTGACGAAAATGCCACCAATAATGTTGTATACCGGTATGTATTGTTTGATTTTAATAGTGCAGAAAGCATCTTGGTGTGGGTGATGTCTTTGAAGTTGTGTGGACTTTTCTAAAGTGATCATTGTTCTCATCTCAGTGCTTAGCACCAGGAGCTGTTAAACAGTTTTCAGTTCCTGGCCTAATATTTTGCGAAATGAATGACAAGGAGGTTTGGAGCTTTATTTCAGCAGTTAATGTTAACAATTTGGCGTGTTAAGCGTGATGCAGTAGGAAATTTGATTATTCAAGGGTAGCTGTTACAAAAAACGGAGACAATGCTTACTGTCACTCTATCCTTCCTAGATTTTTGTTTTTTGTTTTTTTTTCCTTTAGAAAAAAAGTTATTTGGAATTATGTAGTTTGTACACTTGTGACTCAAACTAAAACAGTAAGTCTGTTTGTAGTAAGACATTTCAGTGTGCTGTTGTTTTTTTTTCTAGGTACACTGCACAGCCCCTAGTGGAGTGTATTTTTGAAGGTGGAATGGCTACTTGTTTTGCTTACGGACAGACAGGGAGTGGAAAAACTCATGTAAGTAATGTATTGTCAGTTGATTGTGTTAATATGCAATATCTAAATGATTCTGATCCCTAAAATGGGCACTAAATGTGTGAGCGGCTGTCATAGTTTTGTGTTTTGCAAAATAGTACATTTTTCACAAGTGAATCCTTCACATTTGAACCTGTTCCACTTGGTGGTTCATACTACTTGTTTTTATTTTATCTGTGGGTAGGTATGCAGTTCCACAATGTTGAACAAGTTTGATGGTTTGAATATCTAGAATGTGTAATTACATCCAGTGTCCAATGTTCTACAGAAATGAAAAGAACTGCAATGGCTTAAGATATTTTCAATAAAATGAGCATATTCTTGAGTAAAAGAAACATGTCAATGACTACCAAAGGAAAAATTCGAAAAGACTATGTGTGATCAACCCCATTATACGGTTGTGAATGCTAGACAATCTAATCTCTCCTTTAAAAAATATAATAAAATTGTGTGTGTTATACTGCAGATGTACATGAGCATTGTCTTTGTTTTTCAGACAATGGGGGGAGATTTCTCAAGTAAAGGACAACAGGACTGTAGCAAAGGAATATATCTCTTAGCAGGTTGGTACAGCATGTCTGTAGAATTTTTACATGTTTTATATATATATATATACATGTGAATGTTCCAGGGTTAAGGACAACTTGTTTTTTTCCCTCTTTGGTCAGCTGTTTGTCAACATAAGAAGAGTCTTTTTTGTTTCAATTTGCAAAGTGTGCGGAATTTTTTCTTCGCTTTCCATCTTGTCTTTCCCATACTCATTTGGGGATGGGGGTTTTACACACACTTTCTGAACAAGTAGTTCCAAGAAGGATTTTAGTGTCAGATGTTGTAGCTTGTAGTTTTAGGTCACATAGCACTTTTTAAGTGATATCTGGAAATTCTTTCTTTGTTACAGCAAAAGATGTCTTCAAACTATTGAATTCAAGATACAAGAAGTTGGATCTCAGCGTTGGAGCGAGCTTCTTTGAGATTTACAGTGGGAAGGTAATACCATTTTTTATTTTTTTCATGTTATAGTGAATGGGAAGAATTGCATTGGCGGGAAACAACATTCTAATAAAGTGAGCCTAAACCTGAAAAATATAAACATCTCAATGACTACCAAAATAAAAATCCTAAAAGGTTGTGTGTGGTCAACCCTTCTTAAGGTTGTGAATGCTGGGCAATCACTCAAGACCATGAAAATAAAGTAGAAGCAACGGAAATGTTTTGAGGTTGTTTTTTTTAGAGACTTGAGAATTTCTGGGAAGGAAAAGAAATCAAATGAAGTATTACTTAAAGAAGCCCACGTGAGCGGCTGGCTGTTAAAACAAATTAGGGAGAGACAAATGCAGTTTCATTTGAATAGCCATAAGAGCCTGGATTATCTGCTTTCACTGGCAAATTTGAAGGCAAATAGGGAAGGGGTAGACCCAGAGCTACTTTGTTGGAGAGCCTAAGCAGATGGGTGCTACTGCCTGAAGTGTCTTTAGGCCATTCCCAAAGGGGGGACATTAACATGTTCTTATGCACTGTAGAATTGTAAATGGGCTGATTCATCAATGTCATGCTCATAACTGTGCCTGAACTGCAACAGGGAACTGCTGCTTTTTCTTTCCTAATTCTTACTATCATCATTTTTTCCTCTACTTCTTTTGTATGTTTGTCACACTTTTGTGACCTGCTATTTGCGGGGTGCCTCGGAAGTCGAAGCAGACTTTGTACTTCTGAAGGTAGAGAGATGAGCAGAGTAAGACTGATTCCCTGTAACAACTTCTCTGTTGACTTCCACCCCTTGGCGCTCATATGACCATATGCAGTTTCGAGCGCCGTAAAACCTCTACTAAAAAAAACACCATGTGGGTGACAGGGAAAGATCAGGATAATATAGCTATTCTGAGAGCATTCAGGCAAAGGAATGAATGGCGAATCAGGATCGCTGATGTATGTCATAAATCTGGTGTTTGATGGTGATGATAGTGAATGGGAGGCTTTGATGTACAGGGAGATTGTGTGTGAGCAGATTTTGGGGTTGGGGATCAGAATGTGTTGCCATCCCTCTCAACTGGTGCCAAATTAAATGTGTATACCTTCTTCCTTGGTCCAGACGACCTGATTTATTTTTGCTGTAGACTTTCATTTTTACACGTAGCATTATAACTGTTGCCAGCTGTGTAAAGACTTACCCAGTGCAGTCCTTTCCTCGCAAGGTGAATGTGAGCTCAGCACCAAGATGACAGTCAGTACTTGCCACATTGAAAAAAAAAAATTAGTTGACCTTATTTGGTCTTTTATTTGAGTGTGTGGACTTAACATGATCATGGTCAGCGAGAACCTGAGTTGTTAATTTATATAACTCTGTGTTGCCAGACTTGTTGAAACAGGTATTGGAAGGCAAGGTTTTGGTTGGGGGGGGGGTTGTTTTTGGTTTTTTTGCATATAGGAAAATCTGTTGCAAGCTATGTTGTGAGTAGTTTTGCTTTTTTCGGTAGATGTTTGCCCTTGATAACCCTTTTGCTTAAGGATGGTTGTTGGGTGCTATTGATAGTATTCATGTCTTTTCTTTCCCTATGTTCTTTCTATCAGTTTGTTTTCCTTCTTCCTTGTACTAAATGAAATGACTACTGCTGTGTATCATTGTGCTTTTCTGAATTCAAATAAAGTGCTGTGGAATTTGTAGAAGATGGCCACCAATTGTCAAGGAGACACAAGTGGCTGTCTTCAATAACTGGATGTCTTGGACAGTGTCGTTATAATATAGAAAAAACCCCAAGGGAGGAAGTGGGAAGTGGATGCTTGGACAGGTGGTTGTTCGTGCATGTTTGACCACATCTTGCTTTTTCCCTGCTCCAAATGGCTACTGCTGTGCCAATGTGCTTCTCTTTATTCAGAGAAATGGAATATCTTGCTCTTTCCCCAACACTAATTGACCTTTATGTTATGTGAATGTGCTCGTCTCTGCAGGTGTTTGACCTCCTGAATGACAAGGCCAAGCTGCGTGTGCTGGAGGACCACAAGAACCAGGTCCAGGTGGTGGGCCTGAGGGAGCAGGTGGTTACCAACGCTGACCAGGTGCTGGAGCTGATCCAGCACGGCAACAACGTCAGGTGAGATTCCTCTGACACCATTCGTATGTGGATTCTAATGTTCAAGTAGTCCGCTCACAATGCTCTTTGCTTCCTCTTCTTCAAGTGCCAGATCTGAAACGGACATGAGGAATTTTGATTCACCTCTCATTTCTCTGAACAGATGCTTTTAAAAAAATGTTTATTGTCCTAGTTTTCTCCCTTTGCTCATCTTTTCAAGTTTTTTAACCTTATCCTTACCTACTGTAGCTCAACAGTTCACCACAAGAAGCTAAGGATTGCCACACTAGAGCTTACATGTGCCACATAAGTAGGGAATTGACGATGTTGCATCAGGCCGAACAGATGCTGAATGGTACATGTTGCAAAGATTGGGCTAAGTTAGGGTTGGGTCGGGCTCGCAAAATTAGCGTCCGCGAGTAACGAAGTACTCGTTGGCACTACCCGCAAATGAGCGGACGGGTAACGAACCGTCCGTTTGTGAAGAGTAGTTCCCTGCTCGCTACACATCGGGCAGAGACAACAGTTCGTTTAGCGAGTGAGCGGACGGGCAGACCGAGAGACTCCGTGCATTCGAGCGGGCGGGCGGACAGACGGACGGGAACGACTCCTTTCATTGCCTACAACTCACAACCCTCCGTGCCCCCCCCCCCCCCCCCCAAATTAAATTAAAAAATCACCCTCCTGCCTCACGTAGCTAGGCGTTCATGGCGGAAATTTTTGTGCCCCCGGCCTTTGTGATAATTGGAACGTACACAGTGTGCCCCACGCACGAGGTGAAAGGTTACACACAATGTACTACGTCACCAGCCTCTCTCACTCCCTGTGGCACCGCTAGTGGTTTGAAACATCAGAACTAATTAACAAACAATAGACGACGGGTCTAATCTCGCGTCGAGTATTTGGTCTGCTAGAGTTCATCCGTTTGCCCGCCCGCCCAGTAAATAAAATTGTGGAGCGGACCCAAAAAACGAACTGACTTTGGGCTTGAGGTCCTCAGTCCGCTCGCTGAGAGATTCAAATTGTGGAGCGGACCCAAAAAACTAACTGTCTTGAGGTTCACAGTTCGCTCTCATGGCCGTCTGTTACCTGTTCGCTCTGAGTCTGCGAGTAACGAACCCGTCTCTCCGCTCGCCCCAACTCTAGGCTAAGTAAGTTATTTTTTGGCCTCCCCTTTTTCTTCTGACCATGCTATTGCAGACAACATGCTTTCACATCAAATGGTAAGGAGTTCAGGATGTGTCTTTCAATGTGCTGTGGGTCTTTAACCTGTACTATAATTTTTATGTGGAATAACAGTACTCTTAGAGCTATGCAATTTTTGTGTTAAAACTATTACGTTACGAGATAAACATTCAATTAGGGCTGCGCATATAGGGTGCCAAACATTATAATCTCTTTCAGTGTGATGATAACTCCCAGTGATCTGTGAGAGACAGACATAACAGTTGACAATGTTTGTCTTGTTTTTTTCCAACATTTTGAAATCATTCTTGTTTTTATCTTTCAGGACATCGGGACAAACTTCTGCTAACCAGCACTCATCACGCTCACATGCTGTCTTTCAGATTATTCTACGACAACGGTTAGTGAACATCATTCTTTTCATTTTCCTCTGGGGTTCATTGTTTGCTATGCCAGTATGGTCAATATGGGGGGGGGTCTTTTTGGATGGAGGCAGTTTCCAGTTTTTTAGGCTGTAATATTTAAATTTATTTGGGGGTCCCCTTTTCCCATCCCAAAAGTTTAGGTCTTTGATTTATCTTTATTATTTCATGGGTAGTCATTGATTATCCCTTTCCTTTTATAGTTCTTTTTTTCTGCACCCTGTATGATTTCCATAGTGTGTTTCTTTTAATGCTAAATGAGGTGTTGTGCAGAATCCATTTATTATTGATATGTCAGGATTTCAGAAAATTATTTTATGCACCTCACATTATTTACAAGCCTTTACTTTTTGGCCCTCAATTTTCTTTGCTGACAAATTCATATCTGGTATCAGGGCTTCCAGTCTTCCGCAATTTTGCGGATTTCCGTAAATAGAAAATTTCCGTTAAAATTTGGGCCCAAAAAAAATAATTAAAAAATAATTTTCAAAAATGCGAAATAAAAATTTTCCTTTATTACCAATAGTCCACAATAGCCAACTCATACCGGAAGTGCTCTTTTATTTGAAAGTGTAGACAGTGTCTTCTACCTTGATGGGAAAGAATTAAGGAACAGCAAAAACGCATTTGCAATGGACAGGTGGTCTGTTGATTAGTATATAGTCCTATAATTTTTAAAAAGTACAAAGCGAAAAATGTTTTGGAAGTATTGACATGATTTGATTTGATGGTACCCATGACCAATAGTCAAGTTAGGTAAATGCTTTGTCTACTTGTTGACTTGCTCCTTTGTCCTTACAGATATTTACAAGCTTTGATTTTATTATCCTTTCTCCCAAATAAAAGCTTTGCTTCTCTGCTGCTGTTTCAGGCACTAACGAGTGGTCAGGTTGAGTCATTGAAACATAAAGGGCTGACTGGTTTAAGGCTTCCATTTCACTGTCTGAAGAAAGAGTTCATTTTCAGATATGTGACCTTTTTTTTTTTCCTTTTATTTTTTTTCAGAGTTCGGAACAGAATTTATGGGAAGTTTTCATTGATTGATCTGGCAGGTGAGTAGAACTGTATAAGAAAATAGTTCTGATTTGTGCTTCTTTATGTAAGTTGTCGGTCCTTTTATTTCCACTCTTCACGAGAGTTTACAAGACAGGAGAAGCATAGATGGCGGACTAAACGTGTCTCTGTTGTTTAGACAACTTTGCCATTCCTAAAAAAAGGGGAGAAGGGAAGCAGTAAATATTTCCATTGACACTACAGCAGCAAGAAATGCAACCTGGATAGCCTTGGAAATATCGACATCTGTACGCTGCTACACGTCTGGTATTTACTTTCATGTTCAAAGTCCATTAAAAACACTTCTAGGTGGATTTTTCTGGAAAACATTGATGATGTTGTTAGCGATCCAGTAGCATCTGAGCATTAACTCTTCGAAAAATGTTGATCAAAAGCACAAAGAATTTCAATTTACAGTTTCCAAGAGATTTCTAGCTATGAAATTCACCAAACTTTCGAAGCGGCTATTTCTCATTAATTTTACCTCTGACACTAGGCGACCCCAGGTGCAATTCCAAGTATTTTGACTTCTATTCAAGGTAGATGGGTATTTTTTTAACAAAAGAAAGACAAGTGAACAAACTTTTTATGTGATTCATCAGTGCTTCCACTCTTCCGTATCTTTATGGAAATCTGTACTTTCTGCCAGTTCCGTACTTGTTCCTCCATCATTATCAACTCCCTCCGTAAAAAAACTGACAGCGTAGGACTAGATAGATATCTACCGAAATTCCGTAGCAAAAGATCCATACTCGCCTTCATATGGTCTTGTATAAGATACTGATATTTACGGTAATTCTCTCGGCAATAAGTTAATGTTATAGAAACCTGCCAGATTGCGCATTTCCTGCAATATGCCATTATTCCGCTGTGCCCCATGCGTTCATTGGGGATTGGTCGGCAGTACATTTTAATTTTTACCTGCAGATTGATCAAATTCTGGCGAACTTTTTGTTGCCAATTTCCTCCTTTCTATCTTTTACTCGCGCCCTGAACCCCTACCGGGACTTTTCCTTACTTTTCAGCTTCGGCTGGTGGAAGCACTAATGCATGCACTACAACTCCATGTGTCGAGAAATTAACGAGCATTCGATTTCATTTTGTCTCGACTCTATTTTTTTTTTTTTTCATAAGCCCAGTTTGCCTGCAAATTCTGAGTTGGGTGTTTACTCATATAAATATGAACAACTCTGTCTCCAGGAAACGAGAGAGGTGCAGACACATCCAGTTCTGACAGAAACACCAGGATGGAAGGAGCAGAGATCAACAAGAGCCTCTTGGCCCTCAAGGTCTGTTTGTGTGTCAGGATGTCACTCTTCTGAAATGGGACTTAAGTTGGGTGCTGATTGAGTTGTGTTTGTCTCCATTTTTGTCTTTTTGCAACCTTTGTTCTTTTTCCCATTCGTCCCTGATAGATCCTACTTCTACTTTTTTTTCTTTCTTCAAATGTTCCTGTCTATCTGTCAAATTTGACCAATTTTGTATCATTGTGTTTCTCTTCACTGAAACAAAGCAAAAATCTTTCCATCTTGTACCTTGAAGTTTTCATTTTGTTTAACGCTGAAGACTGGGAAAAAAAATTGTAAGAGAAAAAACATCTTTTTTTGACAATACCAATTTTGAGTAATAAATTTGTCTGAAGTGTTGATTTTTTTAAAAGCTATTTGGTATTGCATGTCACTGTCTTTACTGTTATGAGAGAATTGCTCTGATTTCTTATTGCTTTTTGGTAGGAGGTTGGCCTGTGCTCTGGTGTGGTTTGTTCCTACTTTTGTATGAAAAATCTGTCATCGTTGTCTCTCCTCCCTTTTTGTGTTCTCTCTCCCTTGCCCTTTTTAACTCCCAGTGGAGCACAGGCCATCAACAACATTACTTCAGCGAAGCCTGTCCTGAGCATCCTTTTCTATCTGTTTCCATGATGTCCCCGCTTTTTCAATTTCCGCTTGTACCGCTCGCCTCCATGTCATCTTTGGTCTTCCCTTCTTACGCTTTCCTTGTGGGTTCCACGTTAAAGCCTGCCTGGTGATGCTTGTCGGGGGTCTCCTCAGGGTGTGTCCAATCCATTTCCATTTCTTCGCCTGAATATCTTCCTTTACTGGCATTTGGCTTGTTTTCTCCCACAGTTGAGCATTCGTGACTCGATCGTACCACTCCCTTTTTGTGTCACTCTCTTGTAACACAACACCTCCAATCTTTGTCTCTAATTTGACCTTATTGTGTTGCAAAAAATGCCGTTATATTCTTACTTAATCTAAACTTACTGTTTTTCAGGAGTGTATCAGGGCTTTGGGCAGGAAAGGGGCTCACCTTCCTTTTAGGGCCAGTAAGCTGACCCAAGTGTTGCGAGACTCGTTCATCGGTGACAAGTCGAGAACGTGTATGGTAAGTGTAACAATGTGAACTAGCGGGTGAGTTGTCAGAGGGGCCTGTGGCAAGTTCTGCTTCTCTACTGTGCTACTGTTTATTCTGTTCATCCGTCTTTTTTATTGGGTGGTTGGCGGGTGCTCTGGTGTGGTTTGCTCCTTCTGTTCTATCAAATATCTATTGTCTTTATCTCTCCTCTTCCTTTTGCGTGTTCACTACTCCCTTGTAACACCTCTTATCTTTGGCACTCACATGACCTAATTGTGTTGCTAGTGCCGTAAAACACTAACTAAAACTAACATATTTCTTATTCTGGATACTACAATTGAGTGATAGTTGTGTCTGTGTACTCTTCTTATTCGAAGACTGCTGGCCATTGGAACAAATACAACAGTATGTTTTGTTGTTTTTTTCAATTAACCATTAAATATCAATGGTTATTGAACTGAAGTTCCTGAACTTTTTCTTTCAACTCCAGTTCCACAATGTTACGAATACATGTGAATATTAATCCTACTGTTCTCTAGTCTATCTGACATGAGAAAATTGGAGGTTCCTTTTGTTCTGCTACTTTTGTGTTTTGTTGAGGGGGGTTCGTAGTTTGTGTCAGTTGGTCGTTAGTAGCTTTGTATTGTATCATTATTGTTATCTTTTGTCAGGTTATAGTATTGAAAACTTTTGTCTCTGTCATAGCTTTTACTTGAGAGGTCCATACTTTGTTTGAAATGTGCCATTTTCCCATTCTCTTCAGATCTCTATGATATCTCCTGGTATGAGCTGCTGCGAACACACTTTGAACACACTCCGTTATGCTGACAGGTTAGTGTTCCAGCTGTTTATGTGTCTTCTCTTGTTTAAAACTCACCTCCTTCCCCCCCTCTACGGGTGGTTGGCAGGTGCTCTGGTGTGGTTTGCTCCTTCTTTCCTATCAAACATCTGTTGTCCTGGTCTCTCCTACTTTTTTTCTGTGTTTGTTACAGTCTTGTATCACCTCAAATCTTTGGCAATTATATGACCTTATTGTGTTGCCAGTGCCGTAAACCTCTTACTAAAAGTTACACCACCACACACCCCCTCCTGCCTCCATTTTCTAAATTGTGTCAGTAGGATGTCGCAGTATTTTCAGTGAAGAAATCAATGACTGGTTCATGGTTTTGTTTTGTGCTCTTGCTTCAGGGTGAAAGAATTGGGGCCAGGGGGCCCAGTGGAGGGCAAGTCCTCCGATGTAGCCCAGAACAACTTTCCAGTGGATGGGACTTCACCGCAGAACTCTGATCTTGCCCTACTTAAGACTTCAAATGTGAGTTTTGTGTTGTGTTGTCCAGTCTTTCATTTCGATTTTGGTTCTCTGAGATTTGCTGAATGTTTTTTTGTAACTTAACATAAATGAATACTCCTGATTGTCGAGGGGGTTGGTCGGATTACATGGGCGGGCCATTTCTAAAACTCTTTTTTAAGTTCTTGGATATTTGATACTTTCTACCTCTTGCATGGCTGTTTACTTCCTTTTATTCGTAACAGATGTGATGTTTTTGTTTTGTTAAGAGAGAGCAAAAGACTCGAGGGGAAATGTCGTTGGGTTCAGGATTCTCTCTCTTGACAAACATTAGAGAAATATTCTGCTAGGGGGAGAGTGGGGGTGGAGGGGGGGGGATATAACTTACAGCAAAAAAGGAATTGTGAATTATATTTTGGAATGGATTCCCGACTCTTTTTGGCATTTTTTTTCTCAGTTTTTATCTAATGAATAGGATTTAGAGTGAAGGTCAAATAGGTGGAAAGGTTAAAATAAATTGCCTGATTCTGCAGTTTGTAAATTGCTTGTTGCTGAAATAATTATTGTGTAATTATTACTTTGTGTATCAATTTGAGGGAAAAAATACAGGTTTTATTTTTGTTTCAGGCCACCTCTTTGTTTATGGTAAACTTTGGATATGAAATAAATGCTCTAGGCTTATCACACTACCACTGAAAAGGCTTACTTCTCATACACATATAACAGTTTTCTTTTCTTTGAAGCAGAGTTGTAGAATTTCTTGAACAAGTTCAGGCTCTTAGCAAAGTTGTACATTTTTTCATAGATTTTGAGTTGATTCCTACATTATAACATATATCTTTTTTCTTTTGTAGTCTGCTCCAAATTTTCAAACTGAAGGGAACAATTTTTTATAGGCTTTTCTTTTCATTTCCTTTGGGTCACTTTAGTATATTTGATTTGCAAAGCATGCAGTCTTCTTTGCTTTTAAAAATTTTCCGTAAAAATTTAAATTTCATGGGGCTTCTTAAAGCACAATGGTTCTTGCCTTCTTGTATATTTACCACAGAGAACCTTACTTATGAATGTATACTCATTTGAAGTTGAGAACACTTCTACATATAGTTTAATTTGGTTTAGTAAGAGTTTTAAGAAGCTCACAACTGCATACGGTCATTCATGAACGTATGAAACACAGTTAAGGGTGCAACAGAAAGTTAAGAGACAGGAAAGTCTGTCAATATTTTAAAAACTTTATGTTGTTTGCTTTGTAATTTAGATATATACAAATATATGGAATGTATCGCCGAGTAAATTAAGTAGAAGACTCAGCATTTTCAAAGACCTATAACTGTGCTAAATAGTTTCAAGAACTTGTTTTGGTAGCTTGAAATCCATAAGGGTATTTTTAAATGGGTTTTTTGTATGTTTCATTTCTAAAACCCTGGTTCAATTTACGAACTGTATTCTCGCCTTCATCTGAAGGAAACTATAATCATGAGCAGAAGTTTTTTCTCATAGTACAAAATAAAGCAGGAAAGCATGCAACAAAGTTGGAGTGGCTTTGTCTTTCAAACTTCTTATAATACTTGTGGTTATTATAGCTTCATTTCCTTTTTTTTTTTTTCAATCTTTTCTTATCCAGTTTTACATTGGTGCAATGAAATAAAGCTACTTTGCTTTCTTGGCTTTTTTTGCAGCCACTTACATATTTTCATTTTGTTTGAAAGTCAAAGAACAGACAAAGAAAAGATGTAATGATATAGAGAGCAAAATGATTTGTTATTGGGAAAATTATAATGTGTTTTTATAGCACACAGTAACTTTTACTTCATTCAAGTACAAACATAATGCTTTTTCTTTTTTGAAGCATTTAGCAGTGGCAGAAAGGTTTTAAGTTTATCTCATAGTGACATACTATACAGTTTATGACTTGTTTTGATAAAGATGGGTTTTTTTTGTCTAATGTGCACATGAAACAACAGCCTGTATATTTTAGATCTAGCTATTTCTGGGTTTCTGTAATGATTGTATCATTTTCTGGTTATTTTCTTACTTATGATGTATCAGAGCACTGAATTAGTTCATATTTGCACCCTTATTGTGTTCTCCGACTGTAGAAATAATACCTCGACATATCTTCTAGTTTTTTGTAGTCAATTCTGCTCACAAAAACTGTAAGCTGACGTGTGATCATAAGAAACCTGTTTTTCTTGTACCGTGGCAGAGCATTTTGATAAGATTGTGATTCATCGCAAACCGGTGTGAAATTGGGTTCGTTATGTAAATATATTGTCTAATTATATTTGAAAAGAGAATTTTTGTTGTTGTTGAGTATCAGTTCATGGCAACTATATTTGTGTCTTAGTTTTACATTCTGGTTGAAGAAATGGCAGTTTTATGAGGAGGCTATCTTTGGCATGGAGATAGGAGAGAGGGCATCACATGGTGGTTTTCCTTCTTTGCTATCTCTCAGCTTCTCTATTGTTTATGTCAGTCCTTTAACTCACTCAGGCCTAGGACCTGGTCTACTTACTGACTGTGCCCAGAGGTTTATGGCCTTTTTCTAAAATCATGAAAAAAATACTAAACCAACTCCAATCGCAATAATATTTCATAATTTGTTTAGTTATGTATATTACACGGTCTGTTACCTTCACAGACTCCTAAAAATATATGATAGTTGGTGAGATATTGCCATTTGAAAAGGTCAGCAACAAGCACTAAAAAGTAGCTCGGAAGAAAGACCAATACTCATTCTGATTTCCCACTTCGTTACCATGTGCTAAGCTATTTTCAATTGTAGGTCACGAAAGCAACCTTTACCCTTTTAATAGTCTGTTTCTTTTAAAGAAATAGTCATGGGTCACATATAATGTTAAGTCTATCTCATTAAATGTGTGTTTATATTATTAAGCTGTGGGAATCTCCCTCCCAGTACTGTGGGTTCAGGGCCCAGCACAGAAATGCTCAAATTGACTATCTAGGGGTCGGGGCTGAGTGAGTTAAGTCTTGCTATTTCCCTGCTTTAAGTGACTTTTTCTCAGCTTGATGGCCTTTTTGTTAAAAACCATCCATATACTTACAATTTGTAGGCAATGTATTTAGTGCTATTTCAAGGGTCTGAGTATGCAAGTGTGTTTTTGTAACGAGAAATGCATTGTCTGATTTCTAGTAAAGCTCTTCATGGACTTCATGGTGCTGAAGAAAAATTATGAACTTTAAAGACAAAATTTGGAAATGATAATGAGAACGAAGTCAATTTGAGAGACTTACTGATAATTTCTGACATTAAGATTTATGTTTTTTGTTTTGTTGCTATGTAAGCTAATAGGTCTTACTTCTGCACTGTTTCTCATTTTACTACCACTCACTTTTCCCCAACCGTAAGTGATTCTTGTCGTTTGAATGTTGGAATGTGCTTTTGTTTCACTTCAGCTGAACTCTGAGTTTATAATTGTAGGTGCTATTTCCCTGACACGTTTTCTCGTTGGTGTGTCTGCTTCAGGCTGAGGAGGTGACAGAGGAACTTCTGACATTCCATCAAGCCATGAACAAGATGCAGGAGATGGAGGAGGTTCTTGTGGACGAGTACAAAGCTTATATAGAGGTGAGAGGGAGAGGCGTTTGGTGGAGGATGCTTGTGTGTCTGATTTTTCCTGTATATGAAGCCAGTCTTCTTATGGTAAAAGTAAAGTATAATTCTCTCTCTCTCTCTCTCTCTCTCT